GAACCTGCGTACGCACAGTTTTATACATCTGAATATTTTGGTGCGGTGCACTTTTCTAAATTTGTACCTACGTCAACTTTTAGTGTGAAAGCTGCGTAATACTTTATGCATGAGGCCCCTGGTTGGATAGAAAGGTGCTGTACAAGTACAGTCCATTTACCATTTATAACCCTGTGCTGCTCCACCTAGTGATGGGATGTCTGTCAGCTCATGGGTAAAATAATCAACATGCATTATGGGAGATACAGTATAGTTTATGGTCAATGCTGGCTTTAAGCAGCTTATTTTAAGACATTAATACATCTTTGAAGCTCCCATGGGCCACAAATAATCTCATGGTGTACCACATTTGGCCACATTTGACACATACAACATTGTATGAAGTCATGCATGACATCATTTATACAGTTAGACCTAGACAGCTAAAACTTTCTTCWCAGCATAAAATGACATTCGTTTTAAATCAACATAAAGAAGAACAGGTCTTTAATTTTATTTAAAAGTCCTTTATGTAAACATGAGCCTGGGGAAACTAAAATGGCTTTGAAGTAATCCTGTCAGTTTTAGCTGAATGAATGCTGTCAACATCTTTGAAACATTCAGGCGACTGAAGCTGGTTTGATAGAACAGGAGAATGAAATATTAGCAACACTGCAAACATTCTTTGTTTCTGCTCACAAACCAGAAAGCCGAGCTTTAAGTGGGAGCATTAACTGTTCTGAGGCGACTGCATCGTTTCTCTTCTCCTGGTCCACCTGGCAGCCACTAAGCAAACAGAAATCCTGGATTTAACTCTGTTTTTGTAGTAAATTCCTCCCTAATCTTTTCACGTATCTTTAACGTCATCGGGACATTTGACCCTCCAGAGTCTGGCAAGGCCTCAGTCAAGAGAGCAGCTTCATTTCCAAATCCCTGGGAGTCCATCCAGTGGGCAACTTTGATCTTTACTCAGTCCTGGGTGAGAAAAGTCCAGGAGTCGTGTCATGCAATCAGGTGGAGACGTGCAGGGAGCGTTTAGCTGAGTGACTCGACTACGTCATCGCTGAACCAAAGGTTTTGTGTTGGAGGAAGGCTTTGCAGCTTCCTGGAAAAACGAATTGTTTGGTTTTTACTCTGATTTTGTTAAACCTTACACCAAATTAAAGACCCAGCCTTCCTTGAAAGACTACATATCACCTGTCCCCGTTCCTGACCGAGTTTTAGACTAAGATCAGTTCATCATGAGACATTTTTGCCAAACTTTATAAAGCTGGGGTGTCCAGACATTTTCCCTGAGAGGGCCAAAATGAAAATTGATCTGAGGGCTGCGGGCCAAATGCAATAATATAAGTTAGTTTTTTAATTTATAAGGTTTGTGTGTGGCCAACTTTAACTGGGTTGACTCCAAATGTGAACCTGTAGACGTGCATCCAATAATTACTTCTGGGTTGTTTCATTTAATTCTGTTCAGTGATTCATGAGAAATATTTCACTAATGGTACATGCACATGACAGACATGGCGAGCAATACGTTTCTGAGACCAGAAGCTGTAGCTGAGGGGCTAATGAAGTGTGTTTACCTAAAGTGGCTCACAGAAGCAGAACCTGCTGAGGTGCATGATTGGGCATCAGCTGAGTCACCAATCTGGTAGTGATGGGTCATGTATTGATGCTTTGTAGTGAATCAGAAGAGCCGACTCCCATCAAGTGAGAACTGACTCCTCAATTTTTCTTCTTTTTATTGGCCTTTGTGACCAATCACATAGGAGGATGTTGGACATGATGTGGTGGTCATGTGRTCTTGTGTTTTGAAATGGTGGTAAAACCTCTAAGTGCATTTGGTTCTGAACTAATGAGGACTGAGCTAAACGTTTCTTACAGCTGAAAAAAAGTTAAGACATCTCTGAAATTTTCAAGCTAACCTACAGCTGTGGCTGAAAGTAATTATACTCACTTTATGTTTAATAACACAACTTGAGCACTACTTAAAACTTATAGCTGCTGAAAACAAGGCTTCCATAGCTGTGTTCCTTCTAGCTCTTGACACGGTGGTGAAGGTTTAATGATCTGGGCTTGTTATTCAGCTACTGGACYGTAACACACAGCAGACAGTTGTGGGTCAGATCTGGTGTCAAGTTGGAACTGCTGGTGTGGCAAGTGGTTTTTCAACCAGATGTGGGACAGGTCTGGCAGTGATGACACTGTTTTCAATATGGCATGCCTTGGTATGTTTGTGTATCCCAATCATTCAGTCTCACAACTGGCCTAGTTGTGGTTTATGTAGCCCAAATAGTTCAGTGCTACACCTGGCCTGGTTGTGGTTTAGTTCATGTGGTGCTGGTCTATGCATGGACCACCTCTGGTAAACCACATCTGGGCCACCAAAGGGTCGTCATTCTTTCTGATATCTGGGCTGAGTGTTCGTGCATTGTGTGGGCCAGAACTGGGCCTGACAAATTTTGCAATGTGTGTACAGTATGTTTACTCTCTAGAGTCAAACATGAGGCCACGTGAAACTTTGGATCATGATTTCATTTCATTTATTTATTTAAAAGGACAATGCACATTAATCATTGTTCTGTGAATATAAATGCGCCGGAATTAGCACAACAGCTAAATTTCACCTGTAGTCCTGAGCAGATAAAAAGGTAAACAATTCATAAAACAAGTGTACAAAACAGACAAAATTCAACACTGCCCAACAAACACACAAACTCCTCAGTCTACAAGGTCTACATGATGATCCCAAACTCAGCAACTCCTCCTCAACAGTCTGAGGCTGGTTATGGCTCCCCACCACAGATAAAAGTGGGACACTGTTTTTGCCTGTGTTTGTGTATACCCATGTCAGGACCAGGGGTCCGTATGGACACCAGAGTCTTAATAAAGAAACATCATTTTGGGTTAGATTTAGACTAAGATTTGAATTGAGTTGTAAGGAACGGATTAGAACAGTGGAGTCCAATTCTGGTCCTCGAGTGCAATTATTTCTGCATGTTTTAGTTGTTTCCTCGCTCTTTAGTAGGTCTTTAAGTTCAAATGAGGCATTTCAAAGTAGGAAAACAGATAAGTCGTGTAGGATAGTGGCCCTCAACGACTMGAACTGGTTTCCACTGGTTTAGAATAAGGGTCAGAGCAACAATCTGCTACCTGTGGATCTGGGGCTACATGTGGCTCTTTGGTCCCTCTGCAGTGGCTCTTTGAGGCTTTGACCAAAACTAACATTAAAAGACTTTTATTATATTTTATACTTACAACAGAAAAAGTTAGCTTTAGCAGTTTTCCTGTCCATTTTTTTACAAATATGTGATCAATGAAACAAATATAAGAAGAAAAACATGTTGATTAGCTCATGCTAGTAACCTGTTAACCAAGTCAATAATCCAACTTCCAGCCCTAAAGTATGATCTTTCTCTCAAATCCATAAGGGTTCCCTTTAAATACTTTTTAAAACTAAAATAGATAGATTTAGAAATAATTTAAATGCCTGCAGATTTTAGCTGTAGCTTTCATTAAATTTGGTATAAACTATACACAATATTTTCATTGTTTTCATGAATATGGTCTTTTCTTGTAATGTAATTTCATTGTGCTCTTTACAATAACAATTAAGGCAGTCAGTCAGTCAGTCAGTCAGTCAGTCAATCAATCTTTTGTTCTAAAGTGTAAAAATAACAAGTGTTAAAATTCACTATATAATTTTAGTTTTATAATGTCACCCCCTCTGGCTGGAAAGACCCCCCTTTCTTCAAACTCAGTGGCCCACGGGCCACCAGTTGATAATCACAGTTTTAGCACATTTTGCAGCTCCAGACACATTTTATTAGTGAACCAAGGAGCAGAAATGACTCTTGATTGTAAAGGTTGCAGACCCCAGGGTTAGGCTACAGGCCTGAGTGAAGYCAATGCAATGTCCTAACGATATTAAAAATATGAATTTGTGTGTGTTGGTGTTTGTGTGTGTGCTGGATTGTCTGGTATGAAACTTTAATGAAACTATTGAAAAGTAATCACTTGGGTGTAGATTTGCAGCTGTTTATCTTTTTGTAGTCTGTTCAGTTCGAGATAGCCGGCCCACCACAGTCAAATGATCCTAGAAAGCACAAAAAATCTTACTTTTCCTAGTTCTACAGAGTTTACATTTCAGGTCTATCTGTCTTTTGTCAAGCTGCTGTATCACTGTTCATCTGTTAACTGAAGTAATGTCTGTCCCAGCTGTTCGTCCTGTGCCACGGCCTCCTGCAGTTCTCMCAGTTAATGTACAGCGCCTACTTCAAGAGCACCATCTCCACCATCGAGAAACGCTATGGCCTCAGCAGCTACTCCTCAGGAACCATTTCCTCTCTCAATGAGGTAGGAGCCAACAATAACAATGTTGCACATTGTAATGTGCTGATAGCTGTAATTCCAAGGGTATTAATGACAGAAGCGTGTCAAAATCACATTTCCCCACAAATCAAGTGGGACTCGAGTTATTTGGAACAATCTTATCGTAGAAATAAAAGGTTATGAATACAATGATCTGTATGTGGAGGATAATTTTTTACATTTTGTCTACTAAAAGGGTTTAAAATGTATCAGAAATGTAAATGCTTGTCATTTATCAAATACACACAACCCCAAGTCAAACTGTAATTACTTTGTTGCCGTTTATTTTCTGTTTTCTTTTGAAAGTCCTCAATAAAAACTAACCAAACAAGGCCTGAATGCTCCAGCCCAACATTAGTCTATATACGGTCATTTAAAGCTGCTTCAATAACATTTTCAGCCAGAATGGATCTGATTGCAGTCAAACAGAGTCAGGAGAGAAAATCTTAAAACCGATGGTCTCGTTCTGTCTCTTAGGTCAGCAACAGCATCCTGATCGTGTTTGTGAGTTACTTTGGGACTCGGGTCCACCGTCCTCGTGCCATCGGAATCGGCGGCCTGCTGATGGCTGTCAGTGCCCTGATGCTCACCTTACCTCACTTCCTGTCGCAGCCCTACCAATACGACTCTGTTTTACACAGTAAGACGACGCTGAAAAGACGAGGCTGCTTGAATATTTGATCTGAGTCAGTCCAGATTAGATAGTGTTGATGAATCTACAGCTTTTTCTTTAATGGACCCTGACAACAGGAGTCAAACAAATATCTTTAAGCTTGGCGCACTCTCACTTTGTTGATGTTCTTTTCTAAAATCCACAGAGATCAGCGGTACCTTCAGGGTATGTCATTTGAAATAACAGCAACCTCCTTCCTTTTTATTTTATCCCAGAATAAACTGGTGTGAGTGGAGGGGTCAGACAAGCTTCAGGAAATTAAAAATATCCCCTTCCCTCTCATCACGTATCACTCTTTTTTTTCTTGTTTTTTTCCTCTCTGCCTGTGTGCGACCACCTGCTGGAATCCAGATCGCCACGACATTTGCAACCTTCATGACAGCGTGAACAGCACCGAGTCGTGTGGCAGCGTTGAAACCAGACGGTTAGCTGACACCAACAACCTGTGGGTGCTCATGGCCAGTGCTCAGCTGCTGTTTGGGGTCGGCTCAGTGCCCATCCAGCCCTTTGGGATCTCCTACATCGATGACTTYGCTGGACAGAACAACTCTCCTCTTTACATAGGTGAATGACCTGTAGTGCAGAGATAAAGAGGATGGGGTTTGTGTACACACACAGGAGAAACAATTTAAGGGTCGTGCTGGTTTACCTTCTGTTGCCCAGGTTTGCACTAAGAAAAGCAGGAAGAACAAAAAGTTTTATTCGCTGAACTGATTGCTCAGTTATCTCTAGTTTGAAGATGTTTTAATCCATTTTCCTTGGTGGCTGAAGACACATTTACTGCTTATTTAGCACACGTATGCTCCAATTAAAGCAGCAATGTGAAAATCATTTTCACTAAAAGCCTACATGAGCATCATGGTGGTTATCAAAGAGCCAGTTATAATTAACTTCARCGTTTCATGTTTAACTTTAACTAAACACAAAATGTCGCGTTCCTCGTCTCACACTGCTAACAAACACTAACTGAGCTCTACCTGGTATTTCCTGCATAGAAACAGTGTTTAGCACATCCTCTCCTAAACACTGAAATTTATTGTGTACGATTGACTAAATGTAAAATAAATAATACAGAAATACTATTAAAAGTAAAAATCAGAGAGTTTTACTCACTGAGTTGTGGTGAGTCTTGAATTCTGAACTCTCCCACTTTCTGATAGGGATTTCCCACGGAAGGGGCATGGCAATTTAAATTTCCAACTTGTAAGTTGGAAATTCCCACTTCCCGGTACAACAGGTGAAAATGCAGTGAAAACCACAGCAAATTTTGCTGCTACTTTCGAACCCTGTGCACCTCCACCTGGTGGTGGGATGTTGTCATTTCTTAGGTAAAATAATCAACAATCATCATGGGAGTTGTAGTTTAAGGTCATGTAGTTTAAGGTCATTGCTGGCTTTAAAGCAGTTTATTTTAAGACCTTTTAGAAGTTCTTGCGGGCCACATAACATGTCRTGGCAGGCCACAGTTGGCCCAGGGGCCTTGAGTTTGACACATGTGAATTAGAGACCTGGCATTCCTGGAAGGATTGAGTATCGTCTGCTGTCTGTCACACAAGAGATTTAGACTTGAATCGTCTTTTGCTGAGAACTTACTGTTACCTTAAAATTAACTGTGTTGTGAATGACTTTCAGCTACTACCACACCAAATTATACCTCAGCATTTATGTAATCATATGAGCTGTAGCTTTTTTGTGTGCTTGCTTGGGTCACTTAGCTGTGGCGGCCATCTTGATTTGGGTTATCAGTTATGGATGTAAATCCAGAGATTATTTAATCAGAGCTTCTTTGAAAACCACTTTTTGGTTCATAGGCACACACACACAAACTTGTTTTTATATCCTTGTGGGGCCCATCCGTTGACTTCCATTCATTTTTTCGTAATTTTATATCCCAACCCTGACCATTTCCCTTAAAGTTAACCTCACAGGTACCTACCTGACCCTAAAACTAACCTAAACTCAATTCACACCTTGATCCTAAACCTAACCCCACACCCCAAATCAGCCTCCGAAGTTGTGGGGCCCGGGCTTTGGGCCACACAAGGAGCATCTGGTCCCCACGAGGCTGCATTTTCCTCAAATCTGGGCCCCACAATGTAGGGAAAAAAAGACCACACACACAGACACACACATCCTTGTATTTGCATCAAACTGAGGACTTTTTATTGACCTCCATTCATTTTTGTATCTGTCTTTCTACCTAACCCAGGCATTTCCCCTAAAACTAACCACTACTGGTCTATAGTTAACCCAAACCTGAACCAAAACTTAATTCACACCAAACCTCTAAACCTAACTAGTAAAGCACAGCAGAGCTGCAAATAAAGTGAGGACCGGGAAAATGTCCTCACTTTCCAAAAATGACCTCACTTTGTTGATTAAAAACCTAACATGATCCTCACTCTGTAGTCAAAACAAGTACACACATCCTACACACACACACACTGAGATAGGATCTGACAACCCTGACCATTTACCCTAAAACTAACCTAAACTAAACTCAATCTACACCATGGTCCTAAACCTAACCCCCAACCTGTAATTTGCTTTTGGACTCGTGGGGACCAGGCATTGGTCTCCACGATGCACGTTCAGTCCCCACAAGGCTGCTTTTTCTGGAAAATTGTCCCCACGATGTAGGAAAAACAAGGCCACACAGCCACACACATTCAGCAGATGCCAATATGAACAAGAAAACACACAACTTGGATATTCTTTCATATGTTTTTGTAAATCTTCTCATTTCCTGTGTAGAAGATGCTTTTTCTCCAGTCACTCCTCCTTTTATCGTTCCCAGCCATCCTGTTTGCAGTGTCTGTATTTGGACCTGCCATCGGCTACCTGCTGGGCTCAGTCATGCTGCGCATCTATGTGGAGGTGGACAGAATCGGTTTTGGTAAGAACAAGTCTAATAAAAGCGCTCGACACTGAAGTTATGACGAGGTTACATCAGCTCAGCTCTGTATGAAGACTGAAAGGTCTCTGCTGGTTTCTCCAGGAGCAGAACAGGAGCTGAGACCAAGCGATCCCCGCTGGGTGGGGGCCTGGTGGATGGGTCTCCTCATCGCCTCCGGCTGCCTGGTTCTCACCTCCATCCCCTACTTCTTCTTTCCTCGTGAAATGCAGAAAGAAGTATGTGTAACGTCTTTTACTAAGTGCAGCGATGTAGAAATATTTAGCTTTAATTCGGTGGATACGTTTGGACACAACTTGCCATTCAAAACAAATACATAGGTGTGTCCGAAACATATTTTACAGTTTGTTGTTGCATTCAGAGAGATATGGGTTTAAAACTGGATTACAGAATGTCATGTTGTACTGGCCTCTACTGGCTGTATGTGAGCATTACAAGTTCATTTTTCCATCAACAAGAATTTCATTCAGTGCATATAAACAGTCTGCTGAAAACTTTCATTAAAAGGATTATGTCCTCTTTGTGTTTTAGAAACCACATCCAGACTCACCCAGCATTTACCTGGATTTGAACAAGTCAGGACCTGTGAGTGATGAGTACTCAAGCTTTAGATCAAGTCTCAAACAAAAGAAAACCTAAATGTTTTTGTTGATTTGACATTAAGTGGTCGCCATCTTGCTAGGTGCTATGTTTATAACTGTTTACATGTCAAAAGCACACATTGTGGCCACATCTTTGTTTAATGGGAAAGTATATTTGTATAAAAATAAACTGTATCATGAAAATGCAGATATTTTATGCAAAAGATCTCTACACTTCACTAGTGAACAAAAAACCCCAGTCCCTAAGAATTTGAAATAAAAATACACAAAAAGAAAAACATTGTATAGGTCTTCTGGACGGGTTCTTCTCTAATGAAACGTTTCGTCTCTCCTCCAAGAGACTTCTTCAGTCTGAGAG